AAAAAAAAAAAAAAAAAAAAAAGGAAGAAAGAAGGGTACGTCTTCAAGAAGTAAGTCTTAAGAAATGGACAAAAAAATACAACTTTAAAACGTCAGGGGAGATATTTAAGTTAGACATTGGGAAACCTTTTCCCAGTTGTTAAGGCACAGAGTGCCTGAGGAGGTTCCTCATCTGTGGAAGATACAGGAGAGTTATGTAACATCTGTGCAGAATGGCAAAGGTAGAGCTCATCTGGCCTTAGGAAAGTGAAACAGACTATGTGATCTCTTGAAGTCCTTCCAACCCAATTTTCTGTTATTCTATGAAACATACTTAAAATCCACCTTGAGCATATGCTCCCAGGAAGCATTAAAAGGTATAGCTACCAACCCAGGCATTTCTAGTATCGCATGACTAAAATTTACAAAATTCTCTTTGTTTCATTATTAGCAAACAGAAACAGAAGCTCTAAAACAGCACACCAAAAAGATCTCCAGCACCTAGAGAACCCTGATGGGAGAAACTGAGCATACCTTAAGATTTAGTCCGAATGATCTGGAGAGGTTTCTAAACCTGAATACCTGAAACACGCATTTTTAACAGAACTATGCTTAAAAAATCTGTGGGCATCCTCCAAAATCTGGGCCGCACAGAGGTACAAAATATTTCTACTCCCACAGTCTGTATTATGTTATTCTTCAAGACAGATCGTGTCACGTTTGTCACACATGGTTCACTCTTGCTCTAAGTGTTTTTGCAGCCACTGGCACCATTGCAAAGTGAGTATAAAACACGATCAGGGTAATGTAATGCCTTCTTATATTCAATGAGTCCTAATGCAAATGACTCTGCAAGGCGACTGGGAGTTGGACTCTCCTGTTTTATGCATAGTTACCTGTCACTCTGTCTGCATGGGCTGCTTTCAAAGACCTCTTTGTCTGCAAGGTAAACTCAGGCTGGAGATGATCTCAGACTTGAAATCCCAGCCAAGGAAAGTCATCAGGCTACAAAACCCACAAAGTTAAAAATACAGGGAGCACTGGAAAATCAACAGGAAACAATTTCTGCTGACTGAAGTTTCTTCCAAACACCAGCTAGCAGTGGACTGTTGGATGGGTCAAAGCAGCAATGGTCCTTCATCTACTCTGCTAAAGCAGGAGCAATTGCCAGGAAAAGGTGAGGTTTGTCCCTCAGCCATGATTGCATATCTGGGTGTTTTGGGGGCAGGGTAGCACTCTGAGTTTGCAGAGTCCCCCAGATCCTCTCTCCATTCCCCACTATTTGCCTGGGTGCCCTGGACAATGGCTGCCAGAAGGGATTTCTCCCTTTCTTCTGGCTCTTGACATCAGCAGGCCTGAAATTGGTCCTGGCAGTTTGGTATGAAGTACTTACAAACTCAGGCCTGTTGGGATGTCAGGTGTCAACACAGCTTTGTTAGTTCTGACTGCTTTGAGCAATGCCTGTCATACCCACTTGGTTAGGTTGCAGCTGACAGCCATCAAATTAAGACTGCCCATTTTGACCCCCAGCAAATCAAAGTGTTAAGCTCTTCAGTACAAAACAATTATGGAAGAAAAGCAAAATAAATGTGAAAACACAGACTTAAAACTCTTCTTTCTTGCTCTGTCACATCAGAAGATGTGTCCTTCAGGTGCAGAGAAAGAAGATCCAGCTTAATAACACCCTGCTTTCAGAGTGGGACCTCTGAGGCATACACAAACATAGAGGTGGGGAAACCTTCCTTTCATGTCCACAGTCTACAGATTATCTCCAGCCCACATGTAAGCTAGCAAGCAGGCATGTGTGTCCCATCTATCTTGACCCACTGGAGAGCTAACTGATGGTACCCAGAGCATCTGCTCTTGCTGAGTTTGACCACAGTGGACTCCCCCTTCCCTACATCTACTGAGATTTTTTTAATGTATAAAATGCAGGTGCCTTTTAGAAGCACATATTTTGTTATCTCTGATCCAATATGATCACTAAAAAAAGCATGACTGTGCCCAAGGCAGCACTGTCCAATCTCATAAAAAAAGCCCAACCAATCACCTGAACAACTGCTATTCCCTCTGTGTGTCTGTGTCTGTGTGAAGTAGGATTTATTTCTTGGCAACAGGAATCTTCCCCGTTCTTTCTCTATAATTGGGAGTTACAGTGATGTAAGATCATGTAAGGGTGTTGCTTTGAAAAGTTTACACAGAGCCGCAGACATGAAATCTCATTACATCATCAGGTCACCAGTCCACGGTCATTGGTTTAAAATTATGTGGATTTTTAAAAAAGAAAGTTGGAAGTGATTTTTTTCATTTGTCATCTGGCCTCTGAGCCTTTTCAGGTGCGGTAGCTCTCCATTGGCAAGTTTTTTTCATGTGTTCATTAGGACAAAACATCCACTTTTTTAATATATATATATATATTTATTCCTGTATAAAAGTTGTTCCCGGCACTATATTTTGGTCCCAACTAGTAGGAGTATCAGAATAACATTAAATAGTACAAGGATCTCAATAAAATCACAGGAAATAGCAACAACATTTCAACACTCTGGCACTAGAGAGCCACTGGTTAGAAGGTAGTTTTATTTCTGCCCAGTCTCCATCACACTAATTCTGAAATAAATGCATGAACAGGAACGGGAAAAAAACTTTTGAAAGGGAGAAGACTAAATTTTCTCTCAAAAACTGAAACCTGATTATATAGACAGGCACTAATTTAATATGGCATAATGAAGTCACACGTTTGCATTGTGCTGGAAAGGGAGGACTGGCCTGCCACAATAATAGGCTATTCTAGCTTAAGGTCTACCCATTTGCTTGTGAAGAGGAGCCTAATGTGAGGGCTGCTCAGCTAGTTGTACCATCTTTCTCCCACTGACAGTGGCCTGAGACCATCGAGTCTCTCTGGCACTCTGGTCTGATCACACCTCTTGCCCAGTTAATCACTCTGGTTTGTGTCTTAGCCTTCACTGGCATCTTCTGCAGTCATAACCACCCCCATGCACACTGCCTTTTGCTCCTCTTAGCTTAAATATTCCTCAACAACATTTCTAGCCTTCTAAGTTGCATGTCTTTCAAAAGATAAAGTGCTTTAATAATGGAGCAGTGCTGTTAATAAGTTACCCAGCTTTGCTAACCCTTTAATAGTTAAAATCTTAATAAGTAAACTGCATCAGGTGGGTTTTTCTGCTTATCGCCTTCCTGCAGCATAATGAGGCTTTTTAGCTATTTAGGAAGGTTTAAATCTTTTGTATTATGTTTATAGTTGGCCAGTGGCACAACTACCAACTCAGACACAATTCTAGATGGATGTTTCCTAATGGAAACTTGGAATTTGAATTCAAATGATCTCTTATTATTATTATTCTTTCCTGTATGTGTTTTTCAGCTTGCTTGTTCTTAATTCCTTCAGTACTTATTATTGCATTAAGCCTAATCCTGTATGCTTGTACACCCCTAGTGTGGAAGCTGTAAATACCTCTGCAGTCTCTTCAGGGCAAATCAGCTGCAATTGGATCTCATTTTGCCTCAAGGGAAAAAAAAAAAATAAAAAATAAAGAAGGAAAGACACATTCAAGCCAAAGACAAATCTACGTCTGTGTTCATAAGTTTGTGACTCTGCTGTCCTTGAGTGACTAACCCTCTGTCCTTTTTTTCTGCTCCAGGCTGAGTTCTCCGAGCTGAACCTGGCTGCCTATGTCACAGGCGGCTGCATGGTGGACATGCAGGTGGTGAGGAATGGCACCAAGGTGGTAAGGTGAGGAGCACCAGCTTGTCTTGAAAATGGGGCTTTCTGGAGAAATGCTGGGGCAAGCAGGATGGCCTCAGGGTTTGACTGGGACCTGAGCTAAGGCAGCACAGTCCTGATGAGTTCAAGGCTTCCTGGAAGTGGTGAAAAGACTGTCCTGGCTCTGGTGGTTTTGTATCAGATCTCAGTTGCACATTACTCCATACAGATGTTGTTTCCAGCCCAGACCTTTCATGCAATCATAAGTGCCTCCTTTTCCGGTTCTTTTTAGCCTCAGGCCTCCCAGTAAAATGCATCTTCCTTTCCCTTGATTTTTCTCTCCTTCCGTGTCAACTGATCTTCATTGTAACAGCGGCTTGCGTTCATTCCCCTGCCTGTGTCAGGTCCTGATCCTGGTGGACTACCCTTGCAACAGACACAAAACCTTTCCTTGATCCTGATTGTCAAAGCCTAATTTGCTCCTGAAATGCCACCATTTTTTTGCCAGAGATGCCAAATGCCTTTCTCTGTGGTGAATCTCAGAGGTCTTACCATATCTCTTTTTGATGGGGCTTTCTGTCCCTAGTAGCATTACTTTACAATTGCAGTCATTGCAACCAGACTCTTTCCCTGAGCAATGCATCCCCAGTCTGGCACCCAGTTCACTTTCCAGAAGTGTTGCTTCCCTTCTTCCTGACACCAGAGTGCCTACAATTCAGAGTTAATGTTACACCCACTCTTACTGTTGCTATATAAAGAGCAGTGTAAGTTGTCACATTGGTGTAGGATGGTAAAAGGCCTCTGTTTACATAGCTCTGATACCTTTAACCCTTTTATTCCCAAGCCTACGTCTTTATGAGTTTCTGTCATTACAACTTCTAATTCTACATTTCATCTTCAATACAATACCTTTTCTTTGTTCTTGTTGAAATCGCATTGCTTTTCCCAAGCCATTTTTCTAGCCTCTCTACTTCTTTTTGTACACTACCTTCATGCACTTCAGTGTATACAGAGTCTCCAAATTTAATATTTTTCACACATTCAATCAATGCTTTTACCTCTTTGCTTCTAGTTCAGAAACAGAGATAGTCACATCATACAGCATGAAGGGATATTTTTGAAAGGGATTCTTAGAGCAGCTGAAAAATGGTGATTCTGAACATGCTGAACTCACTTTTATTCCTCAAGATGACATTTCCAGTCCAAACAGTGCAAAGCAACACTTGTCACTGTCAATTAGCTATGACTGTGGTCCATCAATTCATTTCAGATCTTGACAGCTCTAAGATCCACAAGTCTTCATTCATTCTCTGGTACAATTTCACGAGCTTCTGCTAAAAACTTTAAAGGTTGAGTCTGTTATATCCATTTGCTTTTTCTCACCACACAAATGTCTCTTTCCCACTGTAACAAAGTGTATGTCCCATGAACCAGCCACTGGAGCAACCATCAGACAGCACACCGTGCTAATGCACTCTTGTGTTCACTTGCTCACAACGCTGGAATGTTTCCCAAGAACAATTTCCTAGGTTGATGACATCTTCATTTTCCTTTCCATGCCTTTCCTCCCAAAGCCATTCATACATCTGGCAGAATGATCTTGAGCTATTAAACTAAAACTGAAGACAAAATTTATTTCACAAGAGTGTTGGAGGCACGATGTTCATGTTTTTGCTTGCAGTAAATATACAGGTATAGTAGCTAGCCTTTTGCATGGCAATAGCTAGCTAGCTAGCTAGAGAGAGAGAGAGAGAAAGATAGAGAGATAGAGAGATGGAGGGATAGAGAGATGGAGGGATAGATAGATAGATAGATAGATAGATAGATAGATAGATAGATGGAGGGATAGGGATAGGGATAGGGATAGGGATAGGGATAGGGATAAGGGTAGGGGTAGGGGTAGGAGTAGGGGTAGGGGTAGGGGTAGGGGTAGGGGTAGGGGTAGGGATAGGGATAGATACAGATATATGAAAATGCATGTTTTTATGAATGGCATTAGTTCCAATTTTTTTGTTTTCGCCTATGCATGTTTAATAACACTGCATTTGTGTGATGGGAGGTGGATTTGGCCAACCCATATGTGTCTGTAGACCTGGTTTAGATGGCATGTGTTGTCCTTGGTTTGTTACAGGCCTTACAAGCACTAGCCATTTGTTCAGAGCCTTTGCTTATGAGCTCCTGCCCTGCCCAGCACAATGAGTTTAAGAGCTCAGGCCAGCCAGTTTTCACAGACACTTCAACTGATGCTTTAGAAGTTACAGAAATAAAAACAGTTATTCAGTTGAGAAGGTGAATTACAGAGCATAGTAGAGGTAGAGGTAGAGGTCCCCTAGCCCATCCATACGGGTGCAGCTTGCTTTCCACTCGCCCCATGTCACCCGTCCTGCCCACAGCCATGTCCTCATTGGCCACAGACCAGGGTGCCCAGCCACAGGGAGAGACCACATGGAACACCCTCTGCTCATATGTGTGCCCCAACCCTGTCAATGATGGCATCTTTTTTTCCATCACCTATTAGGCCTCAGTAAATTTTTAAGCAAAATATTCAGTCATAAGTCAAAATGCTTCTAGATTATGAGATACAATATTCATCATGAGTTTGAATAGCCAGAGTCCTTGGAAATCCCACTGACAAGTAATAGGAAGTGAAGTAAATATGGCAGCATCTTGCTAACAGACACATTTGGGATACCCCCTGCAGGAGCCCTGCCTTCTTCACCCTTCTCTTAAAGCAAAGGCAACAGAGCATGGCAGTTTAGTCAAAAGACAGTGAATACACTACAGAACAATAAATTTTAAATCAATGACATAATAAATATTTCTAACAACAGCAATTATAATTGTAACAACAACAACAATAATAAAGTAACCACTAGTCCATTCTCTTCAGTTTGAAATTATGTTAACTGATAAAGTATCTAGCAATCTATTAGCCTATTCAATTCTGTTATTTTGCTGCAGGTCTCCTAGTCCTTTCTTTAAAATGAGGAAATCCTATTGCATGTTTAAATGAAAGCTCTTTCTTTGTCTGATTCCTTCATCCTTTCTAATATCTTGGAGCTAAGGCATTCTTTTTGACCCTCTGTCAACTGATTTGAACTGTAGCAGGAAAGAATTGCTGTTCTTTTACCTGGAACACAAATCCGCTAGTAAGAAGATATAACAGTCCTTGAATTCCTACACTTACCATTTGGCTCAGACAAATGTAAAAATAAAGCAATATTATTTTTTTTTTAATGGAGTTTTAGAAGCATTATTTGTTGATTACGAAGAGCAGGGAACTGGAATTATACAGATCTTCATGACTACTACCCCACGTATCTTGAATCAAGCTACAAGTAAGTTAGTAAACAGAAATTAAGGCAGGCATTACATTGCTTGCCTGATGTTTAAAACAGGTGTGGTTCATAGAATTCAATTTTACAGTAACAACATTCTGGGTCTCCACCTCTTCTTTTTTTTAGTTACTAAGGTTGCACATCTGTAGAATAGGGTGAAGGATTTGATAGTCTCAGTGAAACATGCTACTGGGAGAGACACTATAATCTAACAAATCTGAAAAACTGCTCCACCAGCCTAGTCAGCACATATTTATTTTTTTTTAGAGTTAGAAGAAGAAAAGCTGGCTGTGGAGTATCTCATGCAGTGTCTAGCAAGCATTTTCTTATTTCAGTGCCCCGTAACAGAGGGGGGGATGAGCTGGGCACTGGAGCAGCATCGTGCTCAGCCAAGGCTGGTGAGGGGGAATCTCCCACGTGTTGGTCCTTGTCATGCCAGCACCTCTTTGAATACAATTAACACCAAAGTTCCTTTGGTGATGTTAAATATGGGAAGCAGGAGGTAGCACTTATTCATCCCCAAGGATCCCTCACCAGCTTAGACATAGCAGCCCTTTCAACAGAGAAAAGATGTCACTTCTGGGTGCAATGGCTGGGCTGCAAAGCAATGTGAAAAAAACAAACAAACAAAAAAAACAAACCCCACAACAAAACAAGTGTAGGCTGATGCTTTCTTTTAAAACACTTGGGTGGATGCTTCATCTTCCTTCCAGAGCATCCACAGCTTCCTTTTACACAGGTCTAAACACACACACACACACAGAGTGAACTGTCTGGAGTCTAATTTACCTTAGAAATCTCTTGGACTGTGTCACCTTTGCCAGGGTTAGATGTAAGGAATGGGATTTTCATTTTCACTTGTCTTCATTTCTCTGAAGGGCCCTTCATACCAATGTTTCCACAGTGCAAAGAAACCATAAATGCTGGCACTGCACCCACTCTGAGATGCATTTATGCTTTCAGGATATTATAAAAGTGTCTTAGTATAAATGAGAATTTGGGCTGTCTCTGCTTCTGACAACACTTGGACTCCTAAATGGTGATCTCAGCCTCTGCATTAGATTAAATGCAGCCCTGTGTCTGCCTTTTGGGCTTTATAAGCCTTCAGCTATTAATTCCAGTAGATGTGGGAATAAGGCAGGAGTATGTTGAAAACCTGGACAGCTTTCTTACATGGGGAATACTAATGACTTTAGGAGCATTGCAGACTTTTAAGGGCATAAATTAATCATGCACCAGACTACTCTCATCTCCTGTCTCCCTGTGGAGCTGGCTTTTTTGCCACTGGAGCTGATCACCTGGTGCAAAAACCACATTCTGGTGTGTCTGCATGGGAACTACCACAGTGGTGACCATACCTCTTACAGTGTGGTCTGCAGACTCCCTGTAATACCACAGCACAGACAACACACGATGTACCAAGAGATGCACGAATGTCCATAGCGGACTAGTCATTCAGAAGAGTTGGTGGCTTCTTGCAGTTCTTCTACAGGGACAGTATCCAGGGAAGTCACAGGAACCACTGTTATCCCTGGACACACACGTGGGACATACTAGTAGGCAGTAGGTCACTTCCCAGCTTCTTGTCTTTGAGGAAGCTTGTGTCAAAGAGGAACTCTAGACTCTGTCTAGTCCGTCTTTTATAATTTAACTCTTGATCTAATGGGGGTCTTTTTTAGAATATCTGTCCTG